AAAAGTTCACTACTCTACCCTCACGTGCGTGATAGTTTGGCCAGGTGTAGAATTCTAGGTTGGAAACATTCTTCTGCCACATCTGAAGCCACCTTCCCCTCGTCCTTCTGGTTCTCGGTGTTACTATTGCGGAGTCTAGTGCCATTTTTATTTTCAGTCCTTTCGTATGAGACCTTTTTATTTTTTCTTGGACGGGGAGGGGAGGTACCAGAAGCTTTTAGATCTTCTCTTTATCTCATGATGCTTTGAAATCTCTTAATACTATGTCCTAGTAAGGATCTGTCTTTGTTGACTGACCTGCACACTTGCTGAGCCCTTTCAAGTCAGAAACCTGAGTCTTTCAGTTCTGGAGAAATACCCTAAATAATCTCAATCATTTCCTCCCCACCAGTTTTCTGTTCCTTTCTGCTGGAACTCAGTCGATATTAGACCCCCTGGATTGATTCTTCAAAGAAAACAATGTAGACATTTATCGTGTCTTTGTCATTTTTTAAGGTTCTTTCTTTCTTTCTTTCTTTCTTTATTAAATGTTTATTTTTGAGAGAGAAAGAGACAGAGCATGAGCGGGGGAGAGACAGAGAGAGAGAGAGAGAGAGGGAGTCATAGAATCTGAAGGAGGCTCCAGGCTCTGAGCTGTCAGCACAGAGCCCGACACGGGGCTCGAACCCACGAACCGTGAGATCCTGACCCAAGCCAAAGTCAAATGCGTAACCGACCGAGCCACCCAGGTGCCCCTAAGATTTTTTATTTTTAAGTAATCTCTACACCCACTGTGGGGCTCAAACTCACAATCCCGAGATCAAGAGTTGCACACTCTACCAACTGAGCCAGTCAGGTGCCCCTTGTTCTTTGTCATTTCTAAGTTTGTTGTCTTTTTGTTTTACTTTCTGGACAGTGCTTTGACTTATCTTTCAAACGATGTGTTGAATTTTTAATTTCTGCAACTACATTTTTACGTTCTAAGAGCTCTTATCTTCTGAGTGTTCCTTTGTAAAGTTTTTTTGTTTTTTGTTTTAGTATAACATGCTTTTAGAGCAATGTACAAATGTATCCAACACATCAAGCAACAGGACTTTACCAGCCCCCAGAAGCCTCCTTCCTACCACTTCCAGGCAGTATCTCCCATGGTTGGGGTGGCACTAAGATTAATCCTCACACGATAGATGGTTTTGACTGTGTTGAAATCTACATCAATGAAATCACGCAGTTGTCTGGCTGTTGTCACTCAGCATTATGTTTGTATGATTCACATGTTTGTATGTTACACATAGTTGTAGCCTATTCTCATTGGTGTGCGACGTTCCATTATGTCAATTTACCCCAATTCACTGTCCGTTCTACTGCTGATGGGCATTGCACAATCTCCAGATTGAGACGATTATGAATAAGGATGCTATGAACATTCCTGTAATGTCTTCCGGTGAACATATGCACACATTTCTGCACACATTTCTCAGCAGGTGCATGAGAATGTCCCTTGTTCCACAACTTTACTGGCACTTGGTATTTCCTCTCTTTTTTTGTGGTAACCATTCTGGTAGGTGTGTAATGGTCCCTCGTATGGTTTTTTTGCTTATTTGTTGTTGTTTTTTTAACAGCTTTACTTAGCTGTAACTCACATGCCAACAAAATCACCCAGTGTAAGCATGCAGTTCGATTATCTTTAGAAATTTACACAGTTGTGCAGCCATCACCACAATCAAGTTTTGAGGGAGGTATTTCATCACCCCAGAAATTTCTCTAGTACTATTTGTAGTAACTGCCCCTCCCACACCCAACCCCAGACAACCACTATGTGCTTCCTATGTGACTTTAATTCACATTTCCCTGATGACTAATCAGGTGGAGCCCTTTTTCATATGGCTACTAGCCATTTGGATATCCTCTTTTGTGAAGTTTCTGTTCAACTTTTTTTTTTT